ACAAATACAGGCACGTTTGCGAGTCGTGACGGTTGCAGTTTACGTTCCAGCCTGTCGGTATTAGCACAGCTTTTCACGTGAGTATATTAGACTTGCTTATTAGTATTTTCTGTAGAACGGAAAATAGGTTTGCAAGTATTTATCTGTCTGTCATTACAACATATCCGCTATAGAGTAGACAGAGATCACACCAGCGAGTTCTGGAGACTCTGTACGATATTTCTTACAATACTGAGGTAGGTCAGAATGATATCTAATCGTTATATTATTTTGAGTTCATCTGTATTTATTCTACAGATATCCTCCATCCACTATACATTTACTAATGATCTATTAGGGTTTTGTTGCTGTGTATGAAATTGTATATGTAGGTAAGCTATACTTAAAATACTTGTTACTAATTTTCATGAAAAATTTACATATAATATTAATTTTCGTTATTAACTACACAGATTAATTATAATATTAGGATATCTCAGCACACTACAGTGGTTATTCCAAATAAACCTGTTCTTATATTTAAAATATAATGTTAAGTAAATATGAACTTAGTTTGTACATATAGGAGATAATAAAACTGGCTGGCACTCGGCGGCGGCACGGTAAACAGGCAAAAGCTCTATCACGTAGAAGATTTTGTGGGCTTAACTCGGCGCTAGGGATTAGTTACTTCTCTACGTTAGTTTAACATGCAAACTTCACGATTAACGTATCTTTTTGATGAGTCGTGTTAGTATAAACTGGAGATCTCTTTTCCTGAGAAACATTAAGCTCTCATATTCATTGTAGGCACTTACACCGACATGTAAAATGAAATAATAAAAAAAAAAAATTGTATTTTAATTTGCCTTAATATATCCCTACGAGTACTAAATGTATTTGATGTTGGTATTCTAAAAAATACGATACGGCGATCGTTTACATAATATGCCTGAATTTTTAATTATATTTCATGTAGATACGATAAGTAAGATTTTTTTTTTAGTTTAGTTGTTGTTAGAGTGTAACATTGTACTAAAATAGTACAACATTATTATATAGACTTCATCAATATTTTATTAGAATAAATGTAGGTATTTCAAAGTGTATATGGACAACCCATGCCCCGTATAATCTAATCATCTCGCCACAATGAAATAATATAATGTGTTACAATATAAAACTGTCATTGACAATTGTATGGAAAGTATGCGAGTAATGTGAAGTATTATTTGCAGTATCATTCCTACTCTATTATTCAGTGTCTCTTTAAACATAGACATAATTTTATTAAAACGATGTGTCATATGAACAACAATTTGTCATTCCCGCATCTTGTATGTCGAGGATAATATGGAATTAATAAGTTTAATCTCATTACATGCACCAGACTGAGTTATAATATATGTGTACAAAAAATAGACAAAGTTTTCTATAAACGACAATTGTAATACTTTCATAGTTCGTCTCCATAAGTTCGTCTCCATAAGTGTCGTAAGTACTTACATTTATGAAAAATTATAATTTTTAATCTTATTAACACTTTACAAAGCTATTAACAATTACTTCTTGACTACTTTTGTAGTCCGACTTGAACTATATAAATATTGAATAACAAATTTTACCTGAACTGGACTGGACTCACCCTGGACAATTAATATAGCGCCATCTAGTCTCACTGTAAACAGAGCTTGTGTTATGGGTACTAAACAACTGATATAAATACTTCGATGTTTTATTGTAAATATATACATAATATACATAGAAAGCACACAGAGCGATACAAACAATCATATTTGGATACAAATGTTTGAACTGTGCGAGGAATCGAACCCGCGACTATCGGAAGGAAAGCGATGTGCTAAACCACTACACCACTGAGTGCGTCATTATAATAATATTTGAATTATATAAAAAACATTGTTCTATTTAATACTTGCTCAACATATTATACATTACTACTACTTATTTATTAAGAAGTTATAGAGTATCTTGTGTCTAATAAACAAGATATTTTTATTTTTTATATCTTAAAATTGTCATAAATTGAACATATGTCTTAAATTTCCGTCCTACCTTAGCAATTCACCATCTCTTTTTAGGAAGTACCAGTTACGTGCTATATTTAAACTAGATCAATACAGATCGCTCTCGTAGTCAGTGCACTGGCGCTGCAGACATTTTATTAATAGCATCTCCATTTATTATAAACCTATTCATACTGATACTATTTCATTTTATGACTTGATTACTGAACCATTAATCCCATTAAAATAAAGCGAATCTGTTTTCTTTACTCCTTAAAGTTGTTAAAGTCAATAGGTATATATCATCTTAATAATATCATAAACGCGAAAGTTTGCAAGTATGTTTGTTACTCTTTTACGCAAAAATTACTGAACGGATTTTGATGAAACTTTACAGTAATATAGCTTATACATCAGAATAATATATAGTCTATACATTTTACGCGGGTGAAACCGCGGGCACAACTACATAGTATTATAATAAAAATATATTGGGTTGTGTCTGCAATATTTCGTTAGTATCCGTTCCGCCATTTAATCGTGCAAAGATAACAAATAGACAGACAATGGATGTTGTTCTCTATAAAATACAAGGATACGTATATTTTCGTATAGAACCAAAATAATAATGCCGCTACTATTGACCTGAAATCAAGTCTGTAAAATTCTGATAATAATTTATATTGTTAACCGGATCTTATCACAAAAAATATAATATAAAAAAATTTACGTTCATAAGCTAAGGCTAAAATGACATGAATAAATGCTTTTTCAATATGAATTTGAATAATTTTGTGGCAAATAAAGGCCCCACGATATTTAAACTAGGTTGCATTGGCCGTGGTGATGAGCTAACTAGTAATAGCGATTTAAATATGGTGCCAGCAGTTTTTTCTGCTACATTCACTAGATTGTTCAACGAAAGATCGCAACACACAGCACTTAGGAATCCGTACACTTATTGACTACTGCTACTGAACTTTGTTTTGACTTATCACTGGATTCCCCGCAGATGATAATTTTAAACCAGCCTCTCATTAGAATTGTTATATTTTTAATTTGAATATAAATATTGTGTATTAAACATGAAACTTTAAAACTAATCATTTTGATAATAAATTTCAACAGAACATTTAGTAGAGATGTTATTTGAATTAAATAAAACAAATAAAAACTTCTAACAATTCTCAAAGAAGAATATTGAAATCTAAAAGTCATCATTAATATCGGCCTGTCGCATAATTTTTACTATACATCGTATGAGTCGTGAGAAAAAGCTTTTGTCCTTTTTTAATGGTTCAATCTAAACGATTTTCTGTAGTCGGTTCTATAATAAGTAGCTTATTTTTTGATATAAGAATGTCTGTATATCTAGTAGGTACATCATACAGTTACCATTCAGACAAATATGATTTAAATTCTAGAATAGACAGCAGTAGTTAAATGGAAAATGTAACATTAACGTGTATTTAATTCTAACTTTACAGAATCGTCTCATAAATTCTTGTACATATTTTAAAAGTACAAAGTATTCATACAAAAGACATATAAATGTACAGAAATAAAAACTATAATACTGTGTTACTTTCTCTGTGTAGGCTCTTTTTTAATCGAATCGTAATCAGGTCTAATTTAATAATAATTCTATAAAAAACACCACCACATCCGATTACCATTCGATTTCAAATAAATATATAAATATCTGTAAGATAACTTTGTAATTTTTCAATATCATTACGATAAAAATATACTAAATATTATTAATGAAATAAATTAAAGGGCCTGTAATACTGGATTCTAAATGAACTTTTAATATAAAGTTCCATCAATTTTGCAAAGAAGATTAGGAAGATTCAATTTATATCAGATTATAAACTCAAAAGGCAGAAGGAAAGAAATTTGCCAGATTTCACAGTTCAAAGATAAATAAAGTTTTGAACGTAAAGTTTCTGTACCTCAGTACCGATCTTTGGAAGTTGAAATAAGACACTTCTTAATTATATCGCTTCTATAATCAGCATTCAAGCTCGCATAGATAATTATACTTATCTAAATTTGTATTTATATTCTTTATAGATAGATTGTTGGCTTAGTTTATTTAACTTTGTGTGTGCATGTTAAATTTCTAACAGATTTTGTGATGATAAAAACATTAAACTGATTAATTCGAAAGGTAACAATAGGTTTACTTCCATGCTATATTAGATTTAAATACACTAAGAAACTCAAGAGTTGCATTACCAACATGTCGATGATTAACAATGGAACTGATTATACCATCAATTATAGAAATTGTAAATGTACTATATAATTAAATTTGTGTAGAATAGTACTACTTCTACAGGTTTGTATTGCAAACTGACCTAGCGATTACAATAATTGTTTTATGAATCTCTTTCAATAAATGTTTCAAATTTAGGCAATTGTATATAGATTCCTATTTTTAGGCATCTTTCTAAATGTAGATAACTTTGATACTTACGTAACATTAGATACCTACTTTATATACGATTATGATAGAGAAAACATTATTATATTTTAAGCATTGTAATTTTACTTTTTTAATAGTAATTTCGCATTTAAACTGATGCCATACAGGTACAATATGGTGGTCTTTCCACCAAGGTAGAGATTTTGTATTACTCTTATACATTTTTATTTATAGCTTTATACCTTAAATATTGACTTAATCTATTCACATTTTAACACAGCCTAAATTTGAGGATTCGATCAAAAGCATCAAATAATTTACAACTTTAATTCATACTGTTCATTGGATCATCAAGCGCTTTTATCAGCTACGGAAACATTTGCTTAATTTGATGGACACAATTACACCTTGACAGCTTAATCGAATATTTCCTTATGATATCTGTGGTTGGTCATTTTGGACAAACGTTGGCGAGGGTTGGTTTACCCCCGCTTTTCCGCGTACGCCTGGCCCATCCCTCGTCTAGACTGCGAACCAGACTACGTTAGTTGGCTCCCATATTTTGCGTGGGAAGGACGTGCTTCCATGCGCAGTGTTCGGCGCGAAATTCAAACTCGCACATGTGATTCTGATTTGTATTTGGATTTATTGTGTTTTGTGACTGTTTATTGTAGGAATTTTACTAATTATGGAAGTAGTTTTTGTAATGTGAGTATGATTAATTTTGTTATTGTTGTGTATGAAATATGTAATACTTGTATTGTGTATCAAATGTAGTAAACATATAAAAAAATAATCGTTAGTTACGTATAACATAAAAAGTATAGCTATATATTTTTCAATTGTATTTGGACATATTTTTTTAAATTATAGCATGTTTATTCAAGTCAACAAATCTTATTAATGTTTCTAAGTCAAGTGAACTAAAATACTTAATATGTCAACATACTATGAATGGAATAGGATTACCGGACCCCATAATAGAGCACATTTGCTTAAGTGCTAGTGCATTGTAAAAAAACGCGTAAAAGGATATCAAAACGTACTTAAGAAAGTATTCGTATACGTAGACATTTTGCGAGGCTCTCAAGAGCTAGGGGATAAAAAAACCCGACTTCCGGACGACTGTTACACCACTTACCGTCGCCGTACAGTCGCGATAAAATAACGAAACAGTAGAATCGAGAGGATAAACGGCAGATAAAATAGTGATACAGCTCGGACGTTCAATATTCTCAAGTTAGTAGTAAGTTCTATTTTACATTTGTACATTATTAGCAAGGTTCATTGCTAATAATGTATAGATGTAAAATACACAGTTTGCCTTCTCTGTGAACAACAGTTACCAACGTTCATACAAAACAAATAGATGATTTCTATAAGAATTCAATTTTGATTATTCTGTTTCATATTTATGTTTTTGTTTTTAAATTAGTTTCTTTTATCTTTATTTATCTCCTGACTTAATCACGTACGGATTATATATCTGTTAATTTACAAAATTTCCTTTAGTATTATTTTATTATTGTGGTATAGCAATGTGCACTAAAGATAATTTATTTTTTTAAGTAATGATCCAGACCTTATTCATTATTACTATATATTCTATATTTAATGTTTAAATTGTTTAGTAATTATTACAATAATTGTATGTAATGCCCACAATGCGATATTATTAGTACCATATATCGACATAATTTTCCGCTATACAAAAATTAGTTAACATAATAATATATTGAACGTACTAATATTTTCTTTATCTAATTACACATTAATGAATATAAATTTAATTTAATTAATTAACAGTAATAATCAAAATAATATAAATGCTAATTGGTATCTTATATTTGAGATTATGTTAACTCAAAATAATTAAACGCCTAAGTACTATTTTTAGAATATAAACTTACTCATAATATTGTTGAAAGAATAAAATTTCTATGTGCAGTTCTGGAGCAGGTTTACTGTAAAACTATATGAGATATATTAGAAATACCATCAAAATATCTCAGAATATCAAAAACTAAATATGAATAGTTGAATAAAAATAAATAGTCTGAGTATTTTATGTAATATATGTATTATAAAGTTCAAGAATACTTTTAAAGTAACTCTATTAGTATTTTACATATTGCTAAACCAATAAACCGCTTCGTTTGTGCCGATGCATCACAAATCTTCCTTTAATTGCCTGAGAAAAAAGCCGGAAACATGCGGTCGTTACAAATAGATACATTAGTATTTTCTATCGCGATATCTGATACTAAGCATTTTAGTTAACTTTAACGTTACCATGAAAAATACATATTATATTTCATAAAATTCTAAGAAGTAATTTATTTTTCTATTACTTTGTATTTTTAGTACTATATATAGTCGTAATATGTAGATTCTGTAGTTGATTTTAGATTTTTATTATTACATTGCATAATAAGTGAAATGATAAATAATTTCCATTTAATACATAAAGAAAATTTTTGTAGTGATGATTTTTATTTTATAATTCTATAAATAACATTTTATGATAACACTATTTCTTTTTAAGTTTTAATGTACATAAATTCCTATTTATCTAAAAAATAGAAAACAACTTGCTTTAGCACGCACTTTACATTCATAGGTTTAAAGAAACGCATCTCATGTTACTCATATGAACAAAATGTATTCTATTTTGAGAGGTACGGTCGCATATATTTCCCTTTGACTGGTGTGAGATATGTACTTGTTTAGATTTACCGAATACTTTTATGGTAATTCCTCCATTACTTATTATTATACCGAAATATTATTCAGAATTTAAGGTGAGAAGAAAAGTAAATCAAAATCCTCTCTCTTTCGTCAGATACCTGTAACTAAATGATGTATTATTATAATACATGAACTGTTTGAAATTGATTTTAACGCACAGATAAATTGTATTTTTGATTAAAATGCTAGATGTATTATATATGTTTAATGCAAGTCATGATGTCAAAAAATATTTTAGGTCTATTTCTATTCAGATGAAAGATTTATCAACATTCACTTACAACTGAATAATGTAAGTATATAATGCTTTAAATCCTGTCACACTAGTGTCAAAGGTCATCGGTTACCAAACGGATGCATCCCATTTCATACTGAGTACAAATAGATGTACATCTATTTGTGTGTTCTTGTTTAACATACAATATAGAAATATGCACATATTTATAACAGATGACTGCCACGACCCACTTAAAACACCGAGTACTTATACTGAAGATCCTTTCTGTTTGCAAAATGTCGGAAACTAAAAAAGTTATACGTCCCGTTACTTTTTATACATATTTATATACCACATATGTTGTTGCAAATGTTTTCATGCATTATTCATAATTATTCGTTTAAACAATCATAAAATTAACATTTTGGGTTTTTAAATTTTACAATTATATTATAATTTCGCTAAGTATTTAATACTTTCATTGCTGGAATTTGAATGTCTATTTTCTGGAATATAACTCAAAGTTAAGTTAGTCTATTGCACTTCTATATATATTTTTATGTACTATTAACATTATTTATGTAATATTATAAAATAACTATTACTCTAGAAACTATCTAAAACTTTATTTTGTTACCGTTGCCTCGTTACCATTATATCTACTCTGAGTCTATTTTCCCAGATTTATTTGTGGCCGACTATAATTTAACATCTAATTACATCTAAAACAACAGTCTTTAACCAAAAAAGTAACTATCTATAATACAAATATACAAATTGGTACAGAAACCAAGACAACATACCTCTAGTTCTAAATAGAAATGGTAAATAAATCAACCTAAAAAAATATCATAGCATAGAAATAACATAATTTTCATTCTTTTATTTAAACTTAAAACTATAAAATCGAATCGTTATCGAGTAGTGTTATCTAATACTTCGAATTTAAGTACTTTCAGGCTATATTGGGGGTAATCGAAATTATATTCGAGTTAAGGACAAAATAGATGAATGGGTTGGATTTTCTAGAATATCGAATCAGAAAGGTCGAGTAATTATTCCACCACTTCACTATCAGTCGCGCCCTCTTCTTTAAAAGCCTATTCTTGTTCCCAGATAAAGCAAAGATATCTTGTGACCTCGGTATTTCTTTCGTTAACAGGATAAGAGAAACAATGAATTTTAATTTTGTTTCCCAACGGAGCGACAGCCGTCTGGTTCATAAATAAGTCCCTTATCGTATAGGTAATTGGTAATGTGGGCGATCGCTTCCAAAAAGTAACGGACAGCTTGTATCTATTTGGAGGCTATAAATTAAATAACACAGTCTTAACTCAATAGATGGTTTCTCGACAAAGTGTTACAAATTACCCGCAAATCACCCTTTATCACAATTAAAACATTCCAAGTGATAGTTACTCACTAATTGATCTACTGAATGTTAAGTTTAGAATCGGAATTAGTACTTGTACTTGCGAATGAAATTTACTAACTTTTATAATTTTTATAAAAAGTTAATAATATATTTTTTTACTTTATATAATGGGTGAAAGATTTCAATACATATTTTGGATTTCAAAAGGCCCTATAAGTAGGTATATCAAAACCTCTATACTAGATACGCATACTATACAAAATTCGTTTTTACCTGTAATATAAAACGAAGTAATGTTATAAAGTTGTTAGATATATAATACAAGGACTTATCACAAGAACAAATATTAGTAAAACGCTACTTCAGAAGTCCTGTGTAACTAAGATAATGCTGGTTTACAAATTTTATAAACTTTAACAACCGCCATAAACTTGTTGGTAGGTACGTTTACAAAAAATAACTAATATTACAACTTACGTAATCCTGTGCTAATTAATTTATAGATAATGAAAATTAATTACATAGTTAGATAACTACATATATTTTTATTCAGCAGTATAACCATGATATAAAGGTATTATATATGTGGTATTATATAAAGTAGGAGACTATAAATCCATTTCTTATTAAAAATAAATTTTAAAATTCGTGATTCCAAACAAAGGAGTCCAATCAGTTGTTGAAAACATAATCACTCGTAAAATACAGTAACACTAATATTTTTCAATAGAAACTTCTAATTTTAAAAATATTGAATACAAACATTCATTGTAAGTTTTGACATCTGATATATATTTAATTTTTATTACTTAAATCACAAAAAGACTCGATTTAATAACATTTAACGTGTTCCGTAAAAAACGCTGCTCGTCAAACCCTTGAGTGACAGCGGGACCTAAATCCGCCATCAAGTCTATCAAAATCGAATAAAGTACAATTTTCCCCCATTACCGCCCTTCACTTCTTCCGTCATTTTACGTATCGCTTCCGAGCCCTAAAGAGGGTAAGATGTAAAGATGAAAATAATAAATCCGTATCGAATATGCACGGCCTGAACGGATGAAAAAAATCTTTACGCGAAATATGATATTCCGTGAAATCATACGGTGGTTCAGTGTGATCCATCACCAATTAAATGCTGGGTTGTTGGAGATACATTATCAGCGGTATGGCGAATGATCTCTGATTGATGACGTTATGAAACTATAGTATGATTATTCCCGCTCGATTGACTCTCAGTCTCACACACATACCCGGCTGTCAGGGTGTGACCGATGACTAATCAGCAGTAGCTAGTATTTAATTCGAAACATCACCCCAACAATTGAATTCACCGCAAACAACCATTTGCAACACCTTAATATTATT